GTGCCTGGAGGGCCGTACAACAAATACCCTCGCTTCCATGCCTTCCCCACTTTCTTGTAGAACTTCCTCCTCCTCACGAACCTCTCCAAATCATCGATTATCATCTTCTTCAGCTCTGGATCCATGGCTACGGTATCAAATGTGGCTGGATGCTCAAGAATCATGGAACCCCAGATGCCTGTATCATCATCATCGCGTGGACAGTCACGACTATAGATCCTAACCACTTTGGACTCTTCTTTGATTTGTTTAGCCCTGGCCAAAACATGAGGTAAATAAAAGTCGACGACTTTATCTTTGCACTTCTTGTTGAAGCTGAGTTCGAAGAATTTTTTCTCTGCAGAATACTGTTCCCGAGGCTCTATGCAGTTATACCTCCATTTCAACTCAATTCCCTCAAAAATATCGACGATCTCCTCATCCTTTTCAATTGAGATCGCGAAATTCTTTTGCCTCTCGGTTTTGCTCAGCCTGAGCCGCTCTGTTTTGGGGCTGATCTTGGTGGCGAGATAGAGGTCGGCGGCATTGTAGACTTCATTACTTGACATGCCGCTGGATTCGTTGATAACGAGAGTGAGGTTGGAAGAGGGAGGAGTGAAGAGGTAGTGAAAGAAGGAGAAGAAGTAAGATCTGAGCTGCTCAGGAATGAGCTCGCTCGCCATGGATCGGAGGAGCATTAAGGTTCCGGTTAAGGAGGCGTAGGTGGAGAGCAATGTTGATGCAATGTTGGACATCTCGGATGGTGAAAACATGGAGGCCATTTCTGGAATCAGGAGAAGTTGGAGAGATGGGATGCTAAGAAGTTGGCGATTCCCCCGTTTTATATAGTGGTAATACCGACTTGCTACCGCGTCAGATGCACGCCTCCCAGTTCCCAAAGTCCTTGCTCACGAAGTATTTCAAAGGTTAAACTCCCAATTAGTCCCTCAATTATTTTATGGACTTTTGATTTGATCCTACTGTTTATTCATTTAACTTCAACTCAATTATTTTGTTAAAAAATATCTAACGTGATCATTATTTAACGGCATAAAATTATTATTTAATTGTTACATGTTACATTAATAATAAGATATATTAACTATTTTTATACGAAATAATTAATTTAAAATCAAATTAGTAAATAATGGGGATCAAATTAAAAAAAAATTAGTTTAAAAATCAAATAAAAATTCATACAATAATTAAAAGATCAAATTAAAAATTTAACTTGAAAGTCTACGAGTCAAAATCTAGTACCATTGGGCAAGTAAATTAAACTCGGCAGTTTAGGGCTGGGCATGGTACGATATAGTAATCGTACCGCACTCAAATGATGGTAACTGTTTTAAATGGTAATAAAAAATGTTACCACTTCTATACCAATTAATGATTTTTTGATAATGACTGCCAACCGTCTTTAATGGTAATGAAACTTGTTTTACCAATACCATACCATATTATCATCTTTAAACTTATTTTCTTCATTATCAATTAATTCAACTCATTCAAAATTCAATCTTAAAAGTTCAAAATTATCTTAAAAACTTATTTTCTCCATACCGTTCTTCATCATCTTGAAACATACAAATATATAATTATA